AAATTTAATTCCTGTTAACTTTCCTTTTCTTTGAATGGAATTGTATATGTGATTTAATAGGTTGTTATTATTCTTTTGCATGGGTTAAACATACAAACTTTCATTACTCCCTAACTGCTTTTCATTTCTTTTTTTTTGGAGGGGGGGGGGGCGTTTTGCCCCCCCCCCCGCCCCCGCACTTTTTTGGTTGGGGGCGAGTGCCCCCCCCCCACACACACACTTCCGGCGCCTATGCAGGCTAGACTTATTTGTTTTATTTGAGAATTCTATCGTTTCCAAAGCAGTCCGAACATTTTCTCCAATAAATTTCACGTAAAAAAACGTAAAAAAACTGTTCGTTACAGGATTTATTTTTCGAGGGATGGGCTGAGGTATATAATGTAAATGATGCCAATACTGCATATAAACATTTTAGTTACAAATTGCAATATTATTATGAAAAGAATATTCCTTTAGGCAAAATGAGTTATAAGCGAAATAAACCCCGGAATCCTTGGATAACGAAAGGTTTATTGAAATCAATACAAACACGCAATCGCCTCTACAAATTACATTTACGCAATCCAACTGACACTAACCTAAACACATATAACATTTATCGAAACAAATTAACAAAACTAATCTGTACATCCCGTAGATTGCATTTTTCTAATAGAATAAAAAGGGCCAGTTCAAACACTACTGCAACTTGGAAAATTATCAAAGAGGTTATGGGAAAAAAAAAACGAATCCCCCACCCACGGATAATATCACATTAAATGGCACTAAAATACATGATCCTAGTCTTCATGCAAATTCATTTAACTCATTTTTTACGAATATTTATAGGCCCTGAACTCGCCGGCAAAATTAATAGAACTCACGCTCACTTTAAAGACTATCTTTCCAATCAAAACCAAGAGTCTCTCTTTTTAAATCCGACAAATCCTAGCGAAATTATTAACATTACCCAACAACTCAAAATCTCACGGTTTTGATAAAATAAGTATGTTTCTCCTAAAAGAAATAATGTATCCACTTGCAAAGCCTTTAACTCACATATTTAATCACTCGTTATCGCAAGGTGTTTTCCCTGATCTATTAAAAATAGCTAAAGTCAACCCCATTCTCAAAAAAGATGATCCTCACGAAATTAGTAACTATCGTCCAATTTCCCTACTTCCAAGTAATATCCAAAGTCTTAGAAAAAAATGGTTCATAATAGGCTACACAAATTTATCACTAAACACAAAATACTCAATTCAAATCAATATGGCTTCAGAAAAAATTACTCAACTGACTTAGCATTAATTCAAATTTATGACAAAATTACAAGTGCCATATAACAAAGAGCATGTTATAGGTATATTCTGTGACTTGAGTAAAGCATTCGATACGCTCAATCACGCTATTCTACTCTCCAAACTCAGTCATTATGGAATTCGGGGTCAGCCACTCTTATGGTTTAAAGATTATTTAACAAACAGAAGACAATATGTTACATTTAATAGTTATGATTCTGATCCTCTTTTAATTCAATGCGGTGTTCCTCAAGGCTCCATCTTAGGTCCACTGTTATTTCTTCTTCATGTAAATGATATTATCAATACTTCCCCCCTTCTTTCTTTTATCTTATTTGCCGATGATACAAACATCTTTTATTCCCATAAAGACCTTAATTCGTTAAACAATACTTTGAATTATGAAATTAACAAAGTATCAGATTGGTTTAAATCCAATAAACTTTCACTTAATACAAAAAAGACTCATTTCATGTATTTTAAACATCATTCTCATAATACAGAAACACCTATATATATTAAAATCGATGGTATGCTACTAGAGAAGAAAACTAAGTCCAAGTTTTTGGGAGTTCTTATAGATGAAACCTTGACTTGGAATGATCATTTACACCAAGTTACATTTAATGTGCATTTCCAAAAGTATTGGAGTAATCTCCAAGCTAAAGTTTCTTCTACCCCATGCAACCTTATTCCTACTATAATATAATTCGCTAGTTCTCCCGTATATAACATATTGTAATAGTGTATGGGCAAATTGTGGTTCGACAAAAATTAATTATATTTTCAAACTGCAAAAGAAAGCCATACGTATTTGTACAGCCTGGGGTTCGCATTTCTTAGCTCACACTGATCCTTTATTCTATAAACTTAAAACACTAAAAAATTTCGATCTGAACACCCGGCCCCCCCCCCACTCAGTGTTATTTAGGGTACGCATATGCTCGTACCCTCTTTTTGAAAGCACCCCCTATCTGAGGACTGCCAACATTTCCGAACCCCCCTTTCGCGGGCTTTTCGCGAGCTTTTCCTGCCTTGGAGACCCCCCTAAATCAGGAAAAATGCTCAATGTACCCCCCTAAATTCGGAATAATTTCTCATGAGTCCAAAGAGATGAGAGAAAAAAAGAAAAACACCCCCTTTTTAAAGAAATCTCCCGGTGAAAATTCAAATAGACCCCTTTTTTTACAATTCTCGGGCCGGACTTTGTCGCACGAAAAGTACCCCTTTACCGGACATTTTGGCAACACGCATGCGGTCATTCCGACCTCTGAGTGGGGGGGGGGGGGGGGGGCGGGTCTGAACACTACTCAAGTAGCAGTTATGTTTAAATACATTAATAATCTGCTTCCACCATCCTTTGATAACATGTTTAGGTTTAATAGTTCCGTTCATGCATACTCTACTCGCATATTATATCTGGAAACTTCCATCTTACAAACCCCAAATTATCAATAACTCACAAATCTGTTAGACATTCTGGCCCGGACATTTGGAATAATTTTCCCGACAACATAAAGTCTTGTTCAACCATCTACTCCTTAAAAGCTACACTTAAACAACAAATAATACAATCGTATGCTCCTCTCTCTTTAAATTAGTATATAACAAAACCGTGACTTATTTTATTCTTTATCATGCAACGTACTGCTCACTGCATGCACCTGCACTTGCACCGCACCCACTTGATCACTCAGTTTTCCGAAGAGAGTTATGTCGCCAATTCTTTTTATGAGGCCGCCATCCATCTTCAGCCTAACCGCTCACGATGGTGGTCTCCTGCGTTCTAAATTACCTCTCTAATTTATTGAAAATATTTCATATTTCTTATCTCATTGAATGCTTCGTACACTGTTTATCGAATGATATAATTGTAGGCCTACATGATTTTTTTATTTAATTGCTTTTGTAAACATTTTATTCATTGTATTTGTGATTGGTCGAAATTTTGTACTTTGACTTTGAATTTGTATATTTTTGAACGCAGAAATAAAATCAATCAAACAAACAAACTTATTAATGGTCGGCAAAACCTTTTTCAGTCTTAAAGAGATGCATGTAGCAATAAGTTTGTAATCTGTTTTTATAACTGTAATCTTGACATTTCATTATGTAACCCAAGATGTATGGACAAATTTGAGCACTATTTTTTTTTTTGGGGGGGGGGGGGGGGCACGTGCCCCCTGTGCCCCCTAGATCCTTTTTCAGGGCATACAAGGTTTTCGAAAGTCCGAGTTACGCAGTTTGTTGGTATATTTGAACAGCCTTCAAAGTTGAAAACGCATTTTGGCCATAGATCTAATTAATATTGCGGATATAAGCCTTCCGATATGCCAGTTTGAGTCCTATTCAATCTGAAACAATAAGACCCAGACAAAAAGGTTTCTTCATGTAATCTGTATGAGAGTAAAAAGTTAGACCTCATTTTTAAATTGGTGTAGGCCATTAATTATTTAAAATGTCATATGATAGACTAGTTTTACCAGCCTAGCTTCAAAGTTCAATATGCATTTTGGCCACAATAATCTGTAATGCGCGGAGTTGTACAGATGCTGGCGGGTTAAAGCCGGGGTTGAAGCTCTAAATTCAATCTGAAACAATAAGACCCAGACAAAAGGTTTCGGCATGTAATCTATATGAGAGGAAAGAGTAAGATCTCAGCTTTAAATTGGTGTAGCCCATTATTTATTTAAAATGTCATACGATAGTTTTAACAGCCTTCAGCAAAGTTGGAAACGCATTTTGGCCATTATTTTCTGTATAGTGCAAATAAGCCTTCCGATATGCCAGTTTGAGCCACATTCAATCTGAAACAATAAGACCCAGCCAAAAAAATTCGGTGACCTAGATCTATATGAGAGCAAAGCGTAAGATATCAGCTTTAAATTGGTGTAGACTACTAGTAGGGTGTCTGATCGCGCACCCGATGTTGTGTGCTAAAATCTTTCCCATAGAGATTGCACACATCCCTATGTGGTCTACATGCATTGCGCGACCAAGCAAAATTGGTCAATGGTTTTATGAAAAATTTGAAATTCAAACCTTTATAACAAATGATCCTGAAGGTGAAACTCAATAAATGTGGTGTCATATGAAAGAGCAGGTTTTTCTCCATATTCCCCATAGGGGGCCACCCCCGGAATTCTAAAAATATCTTGCTCAAAACAGCGATTTAAACATCGTTTCCATGGTAACTCGGAGATTTACCAATTTCACGAACTGCTCCCCCGAGGGATAAGTTGGGCCAGCTGTAAAGAATATATCCATGCACTTATTTTTTCTCTAGTCCCAAGGGATCATTTGTTACAACAGTTTGAAAATACCCTTGCTCCACACTTTGCATATCGTGCTGTGCATTAGCTGTGCAGCTTTTGAGCAGAAATTATAACTCTGCGTGAACCACTTTTCTGTCCATTCTGACCAAAATGCTATGAATATTGCACAATTTTTGAGGGGCTGTATCTTTTGATAGAAACATCGGTGAGTCTTGAAATTTGAAAGGTATTATTCTGATTACATTTGTTATTCCAATATCAAACAAAAATGGTGAAAAACGATCCCAAATTGAAAATTGAAAAATCGTTCAGACACCCTACTACTAGCCATTTATATTTCAATGTTAGGTGGCCGTTACCGTCAGCCGCGCGCGCGCGACGTGCACAGTTTTTTCTTTTCCTATTCGATATTGCATCAGGCCGCCTAGGCCAGCTCATAATTATCGGTGGCTAGCGCTATAGCCTCCTCGATCAGTTTCATTGAGCAAGCGGATTCAACTTCAAGTAGCGTTTTAGGATGCCCGTATTTCCTTTATTAACATAAATGCCCAGAAGCCAGAGGTGACTCAGCTGAGAGAGCAGGTAAGTGCAAAATAAACGTACTGTATTCAGCCTCAGTGGCATTAAGTAGAGTTTCTACTCCTGGAAAGGTCCAAGATTGAGCTGCAGCCACAGCTCAGCTCAGCCAACTTCTTTAGAAGATTTTGCTTCAGCTTCAGTCCCGCTTGCTCAACATCACGTTGGAGCTGGACCGGAGAAGCTAGAAGGGCCTGAGCTGAGCTACATGTAGGCCTAGACCGAATTGGGTTCAGACAGAGGCGTATGTGCTCAGCTTATACTGACCATTGACGATCTGGCCAAGGGAATCGAAGAGAAAGGGCAGACTGATGGTCTACTGGACTTCTTCTTTGGATTAAGTTTACCTCCTTCACCATGTTCACAGTACGGTAGACCCTAGTTCATTAGTTGAAGAATCTGATGATGTGTGTGTGTGGTGCAATGTAGACCGAAAGCTTCAGTCTCTGAATCTGATATCGACGGTTGTTCCGCTGAGATTGCATCTGGCTCCTCTGACCGCCTCTATATACATAGACTGAAGTACGGCCTAGATCTATAGCTGAGTGGAACAAATGGTTCGGTTCGGCCGGACCGCGATGAATGAGATATGCAACAAGATTTTCACTCTTTACATCCTCATAGTCATAGACCTAAATGCACTTTGCAATATTACGATAGGATTATTAAAATATAAAAAAATAAACAAATATGGCTTTGACTTACGATAGCTTGCTAATTTATATCCTAAATTAATGATTAATCTGAGAAAGTCTCGTAGTCGACATGATTTGTTGTCATCCATCTTGGTTTTAGTTGATGAATATTCATTTTTTCTTTTCGAACGTCCAATAGCTACGTACGAGTCAACCCAGTGATATATGCATATTCATAAACCCAATACGAAACGAGTGCTCTGATTGGCCATTTGCTATGTTTTGGTACGTTGACCCGGAAATATATCGGCCGGGTCAGGTCGTAGATTACTAGTTTGAACGGATGAACGATACGTTTCACGGTTCGGAGAAAAAAATTGGATAAGTCCGTAAATTTCGCATTTGTATAATAGGTCATCTAAAAATATTTAGTGTAAATAGGAGAACAATATACCTATTTTATATCTGATTTATAAATCAGAAAATTAGATCTCAATGGTGAAAATCGGGGAAGAAAGTTTCTGTCACAAAGTGGTATGAATAGTTGGCCAGATTACCTCCTCGGTGCGAGACCTCTGAAGTACCGTCTGTATATTGGAAATGTCAACAAATGTCAGTTTTATTAAAGAAATGACCCATATCAGATGGTTATTTCTCTAGGTGCAATGCTATTAACGTGGTGCAAGAAAAAGTTCCTGGACTTCAGCAAAGCCTTTGACAAGGTCTCCCGCAGATTGCTCCTACACAAGCTGGAGCACTAGTAATAGTCACACATAGGTGCATTGCTAGATCTATATCCTGGCTGTGTATTAAAAGCTGTGCTATTGAATTTCAAACATTTCAAACACCACTCACAAAACTCAGCTGATTTCACTAAAAATCGGTACTTTAGTGACAATTGATAAGTAAAATACAATTTTTTCAACTTTCCGATGTTAGAAAGAATAATTTAAAAGTTGAAATTGTGAGTCCACTGTCAAACTTGCCGATCAGCCGCATCGGAATGATTGTGTGCATCTGTGTGTTTAATATGAGTGTATTGACTATTCATGTGTTCAAATGCTGCCTATATTAACACGTAGTGCAGTGCTAGAGGTCAACCGTCAATACGCATTAGCATTGACTCTCTATGCTTGGCTGGAGTGGTATTATAGTATGGTGTATGTCACTATGTGGTACAACTCTACTTTGCACGAAGAACTTGCGCATTGAGCGCTGTACAGTGATTTTATGTGCTCTCATTGGCCGATCTGCCCGAGTGGCTTCGAATTTAAGTTCAATGGCAAAGTCAATACGTAATATTATGTCACACAGGCCTTAAATTTCAATATTTTTAGGGCAAGGCCACTTTTCTGTAGGGCACATTCCTATATTACAGCACAAATAGGAAGAATTGGAAAGGGCACAAAAAATCTCCAAGGCCAATGAGAGGGGTATTGAGGCCAATCAAAGGGGCATCCAAGGCCATGACCTTGGTAGCCTTGGATTAATTTAAGCCCTGGTCACACCACAGAGATTTTGACACGTCCTGCTTTAAACAAGTGACGCAATTCACACATAACTGACGCACACACGGCATTGCATATAAAATAGAAAAATCAAGGAACGTCTCAGGAAAAATTCCAGTTTGTATCTTAAATATGACGAAAATAGTTAAGTAAACCTAAAATTAAGTGACATACTTAAGTGAAATACTTAATTGAAAAAATCATAACAAATAGAGGGTTTGACTGAAATATCATAATTTTGGTATACCGTTAAAAAACCCCGGTAAATTGCAAGGTTGCTCCTCGCACAAATATCGTATAGCATTGAGTGGATGGAGAACAGCGATAGCCAATCTGAAGGGCCCGTGTCGGCTAGGCTAGGCGCCAACTTACGAATATGAGGCTGAGATCGGATGAACGATCTGTGCATAAGCTAATTGTAAGCTAAAGTTCTATGTGCTTTGGGTCAAGGACTTCCTTAGTCAATGAACTCAACAAGTTCTGGTAGACAGCCAAGTCAGCCCATAGGCCCATAGGCAGATGCAAGGCAGCGTCCTGGGACCACTTCTCTTCCTGGCGCACATTAACGATCTCCCAGAGTGCGTTAAGAGCTCCACAGCAAGACTATTTGCTGATGGCTGTGCGGTCTACAAGAGAATCACATCACCTCAGGATGCTGCACTACTTCAGGACGACTAAGATGCCTTGCAGAAGTGGGAAAGAAAGTGGCTAATGGAGTTCCATCCTTCCAAGTGCCAAGTTGTCTGTATAACAAGTGCAAACCTACTTCTTCAACTTACTCCATCCATGGATTAATCCTTGATGAAGTTCACTCTGCCAAGAGTGTTGAAGGACAAAAAGCTGTCCTTCAACATACATGTTGACATCACCACCAAGAAGGCTAACTCCATTCAAGCTCTTCTCCAACCCAACTTCAACAACTGTAGCCGCAAGATTAAAGAGGCAACAAACAAGACCTATGTGAGACCAATGGTGGAGTGTGCAACAACTGCAGACCGCAGATCAAGCGTAACAGCCTTACTGAAGGATCTACAATGGCCAACTCTCCAGAGTAGGCGCTGTCAGAGTCGACTTGCTATGTATGCTTTACAGAATCCGCTGGGACCTGGTAGATATCAAGTGGAAACAACATCTCACTGAATCTAAGTCCATCACAAGAGGTCATGGCTCACGTTTCTGGACTCTGTACTGCAGCTCCCAAGTGTACTTTTCCTCCTTCTTTCACCGCACCAGCAAAGAATGGAACTCTCTGAAGAAAGACCCAACAAAGGCTCACACGATGCCTTCAAAGTGGCATTGAAGGATGGCACCGTCTTGCATGCAGACGAGCTACTTATTAACCTCACATCACTATACAATGTACATACCTGCACCAGAAGTCTTGTCTGCGTACTATTGACTGTGCGCGCATCATTCCACATAGCGTTATCTTCATTTCATGAAGCCTGCACTTTTCAGGAAGAAGAAGAAGAAAGAGTCAGTTTTTGAATGATATCGACGGTTCCGCTGAAATTGCATCTGGCTCCTCTGACCACCTCTTTACATAGACTGAAGAACGTCCTATGGGTACTGTGAGGGGAGAGTGGCCAAACAGAGATGAGTGAGATGCTATGGGGTTTTTCACTTTTCACCAGTTCACGTTTTCATCATATCCAATTTGGCTTCATTACTACACTCGATCCTGTTATCTTTAAAATAGGGAGGCCAATACCCGGGCGTAAGGCTTCTTCGCCTACGATTTGTGCGCTCGTCATCCAAGTCAGATTTTGGCTAGATCTAAACATAGGGTGTCTGAACGATTTTTCAATTTTCCCTTTGTCCCATTATGGTTGGATAATTGGTTTGTCTATTCAGATGATACATTTCAAATTTCAAGACTCACCGATGTCTCTATCAAAAGATACGGTCCACCGAAATCTAGGCAATATTCATCCAATTTTGGTCCAGAATGGGCAAAAAACGTGGTACACGCCGAGTTATAATTTTCGCTCAACAGCTGCATTTATAGGCGATATGTAAAAAGTGGGGGAAGGGTATTTTCAAACTTAAATCGTATGTTATCCCTTGGGGCTAGCAAAAAAATAAGCACATCAATATATTCCTTACGACTTGAACTAATTATCCCTCGGGGGGGGGGGGGGGGTCAATTCTCAAAAGTGTTACCATGGAAACAATGTTAAAATCGCCGTTTTGATCAAGATATTTTTAGAGTTCTGAGACGACCCCCTTTGTAAACATCTAGGTTATCTGAAATCTGTCTCTGGATTTGATGTTTGTTGTGAGTTTTGTAGACAGCAGCCTGCCCAAACTTTCTGTAATAGGTTAGTAGTAGAATCAAATCCTGGATCCGCCCCTGACTTATGGAAGTTACGCTGAGTAACAACGGGTCGGTGGAATGTCGTGTTAACTTAATCCTGGCAAGTTGGTCCGAGTAAGAGGGTGTGGACAACTAATGGTGTAGGTAAGTCAAATATTCATGAGATATGTACTGCTGCAGGGATTAACTTACGCCCACTAGCAAGCCACCGTCTGAACATACATGTAGCCATAGCATGTTAAGAAATAAGCCACTGCTCATTCTCTTTGTATGTGAGAGGTTCATTGCAAGAGGGGTTCAAGAGGACATATTTTTTTTTTTTGGGGGGGGGGGGGGCCCAAATTATGAAAATTTGACCGATGGGGGGGGGGGGGGGGGGGGGGTAAGGTAATCTTTTTTAGGTCATCCATTAGGATTTTAAAAATATTTTTTAAATATTGTTTTTATTTAAAAAAAATCAAAAAAAAAATCAAAACTCAAAAGGGGGGGGGGGGGGGGGGGGTTTCCAGAAAAACATGCACATAAAAAAAACTCAAGCATATAGATAATGATAATTCATATTGTTTCACAGATAACATGGCGACGAAGCATGCGTGTTGGACGTCTGTCTCAAGTACAGATGGAGGAGGGGGAACTCTTCAGTCATCACAGGAACATGATGAAGGTATGGAGTGTTTCAATGATAATTGAGTTCAGTATATATATGTATGCTCTTTCTCATCTTATCTTGAAATAAATGCCCCAGTGGGTGTGATTTCTTTTATTTTTTGTTTGTGTTGCTTTGAGAATGAAGTTTGTTTATATTCATGAAGCATAACGTTAAACATTAAAATTTCAAGGTGTGAAGAGTAGACCTATTGCAAGTCTGAAAAACTTTAAACACCTTAAAAAGGAGCTGGACCTTATAGATGGTACCTTTAGCTAGAACATGAGTTGTGCAAAAACAGGAAATTGAGGTGATCCCTTACACCTTTAGATAAAATAGTTAGGAAGGCTCTCTCTCAAAACAAAAGAAGAATTATAAGGATACAGTAAATAGGCCTACTGTAATTAACGGTGTATTAACCGCACCTTTTTGTGCGGTTTATACACGGTACACCCAAAAAAAAAAAAATTAAAGTTTCGATTTATGCCCCTCCACCTGGCGCAATGCCTGGCAATGTCTCCCAGCTCAGTAATCGGTGTGTTGACTCACCACTCGGAAACTAGAATAACACTCAAATTTGTCTGTCATCTTGGTTTGAAAGTAATCTTTCTGATAGATTTCAATATGTAGTTGATAAAAATAATTCCTCCAATTTTCCTTCTATTACACGGCGTACATGTACCACAAGGTTCTATCCTAGGTCCTCTACTGTTTTTTAAGTCGGCAAAAAAAAAAAGTCTGCAATTTTTTTTTTTCTTATTTTTTTAGGGCGAAAAAGAGGGGTGCGGTTAATACACGAGGGCGGTTTATACAACGTTAATTACGGTATACAGATAATTTAGTCTCTGCACTGATTAAAAAAATAATATTATAGCTTTATTCAATACACTGAACAAAGTATTGTGATTCACGAATGTTAGGCATGTGCAATTGAAAATTTAAAGGGAGATTGCTGGCATTTTCCATGTGCAGAAGGTCATATTTCGCTGACACCAGACTTGACACCAGGCTTGGTGGAAGTACCATTGATGGGTGTACAAGTCTTGCATACAGCAAATCGTAGTTCCATCAAAAAATACCCCTACCCCTAGTCTTTCAGAGAATGTAAAATATGTAAGATAATGGCTTTACCATATAAGGATGGGTGGAATAAGCAGAGCATTACATAAGGCCTGTTGCTGATAAAACTGAAGGTGATTGACAACACTTATTATTGGGTAAATGCCCAAATGGTGTCAAATTCCCCAGTGAGAGCCCACTACAATGCATCTCTTATATACAACGTTCATTCTCTCACCTTACACATCAAATCATGAAGAAGAAAACAAATTAGTAAGATTTATTAAAAACAAGTCGATTCACTAGCTCAGAATCAAGAGTGTGTATTTGCACCAATACAACCTCTAAACAGATGCATAATACATAAATATTCAAAAACACAATTTACATATTCATCAATAACATAAGTATCCACTTCACTCTGTATTTTAGAAATGATAAGTGTAGTGATCAAGAATTTAATGATTTTTATTTTGACATGTACAGGAAACATCAGAATCAAGACGGAGGGAGAATTTGAGAAGGAGGAGACGTGTCTTTCCATTCCAGGTTCAGAAGGATTGAGATATGAGGGTCAGCTTGTAACTCATGACGGTATGCTATAGGTTCTTGAAGGAAAATCAAAAATTGAGAGATGAGGGTCAGCTTGTAACTCATGACGGTATGCTATAGGTTTTTGAAGGAATATCAAACATTGAGATATGAGGGTCAGTTTGTAACTCATGATGGTATGCTATAGGTTCTTGAAGGAAAATCAAACATTCAGATATGAGGGTCAGCTTGTAACTCATGGGGGTATGCTATAGGTTCTTGAAGGAAAATCAGACATTGATAGCAAATTGCTCTGAGAGAAAGCAAAACAATTGGATAATTGGATTGGTGAAAGTTAGAACAACCTCGTAGAAGAAATAAGAAAGTTATGAGTGTTTAAAGTATGATATCACTAAGTCCATGCAAATCTCAAAATTTGGCTATTTGGTTACGAGAGTTTTTCTCTTAAGCTCCTTCTCCTTTGGCGCACTACTAAAAATATATTTTGTATAACATAATATTACAGGTTCTCTAATTTTTTTCTCGAAAGTTGTTTCCAATTTCTTCCAAACTGTCACCAGTCTGCTTCTCAGATTTGTCTACTTTCTTTTAGAGTTGTTTGCTATCAGGGCTGAGTATCACTTTAAAGGAAAATCAAACCTTAAATTGTTTGAGCCAACTAGAAAATGCTTGCAAAATCCAATTAAAAAAAAAGAAAGAAAATATCCATATTATTGATCTAATTGCATACATTGATAGGTGTCCTTCAATGATCTTTTCCCTCTGTTTCATACCATGACATTCATTCTTGGGAGTTATTGGCATATCACCTTTTATTTTGCTATAAAATTCATTCCTCTCTTTATAGCCAATAATAAGTAACCAGATCAAATTTTCCTTCTCAGATGATGTAAAAATATCTTTACTTTGTTCATAACAGGTCTGGTATTCACCATCAAACAAGAAGTTGACACAGACATGTTTGAATCCCTCTCAAGTGCAGAAGGACAAGACCCATCGACTGAACAAGGTATCATGAAGTTATCAAGAGAATTCTTTTGTACAATGGCCTGAAAGTGGTCAACAAAAAATTTAAATAAAAACAAAACAAAACAAATCAAAATGTAAAATTGGAACATGAAAGGAGTATGTAGCCTACTGATGCATGCATAAATGCATAAATGCACTCTGGTGCAATCCTTATTTTAAAGCATTTCAAACAAATTTTGTACCTCATATTATTGAATGGTTTTTGGTGGGAATGAACATTAATCTGTTACTAAATTTGTTAAAACCCCTTGTGGACCTGACACGGAAGTAAATTAGTTAAAGGTAATACAAAGCTTTGGGAATTTTTGAAAATGGCTGGATAGCTATTCTTTAAAATTTTGATATATTTGGATGCCCCTGAGGATGTATTATAAGCACTAGAAAATATAGCCCCTAAACACTTCTGCTTTTGAGAAAAATTGAATATCAAAATTTACCAGTGCTCCCAGTAAATTTTGATAAATTTCAAATAGCGCCTATTACGGCCATCCAATATTAGCTGCCACCATGAAAATCTCAGAATATGCAGTTGTGATATATATTTTCCAAACGGGAATAACTGATCGGTCGATTTTAGTCAAGAAACATTTTTGTTATGCTAAATTAAAATCTTGACCTTGAGAGAGAGCTATGCAGCATAAAGAGTTTATTATTTACAATTTCAATTTCATCACTTTAGACTCGATTTCAACCGCAACAACAATCTCTGAATATTGTAGGATCGCATATGCTTCAAATATTTTCAAGACCCCATACCAAAACTTTGTATTACCTTTAAAGCCCCACTGTCCTACTTGTAGCTACTTGCTCCCTCTATATAGAAAATTCCCCAATCGGTGCCTGTTGGTCCCCCATGATCCTCTTTTTCTTATGTTAGTTGAGAGCTGAGTTAATGAGATAGCCACCTGTCAGTGACCTCGCTGTGTGGTGTAATCCCTTCTTGCCCAATAGTATTGATGGTATTGGCTACTGGGGTATCGTTTCACAAAATTGTCAACAGTACAAGTTCACCGACAACCAATTGAAAAACATGTATGCGTTATAATCAGTCCACACATTTTGATGGGTTGTGTAACAAAGCTCTACTTAGTACAGTTTCGTGAAACCCTGCCCTGTTTTTTGTTTTGAATGAATTCGTAATTCATTGTTGAGGTTGGCTTGTAAAAGACTAAAATTTAAGGCATGATAACTAAGCCTATATTCAGAAGGAAGGAAACAACTTAATAAGTAAATAGCATTTTCTCTATGTTCCAGTTTAATATCTTGAACATCAAGTTGCACCACAAGAATTGACATGGTCTGAAAAAAGTGATGACAAATAGTTCAAAATCCTCCAATAATTAGCAAATGCACAGCTAAAGAATGATGTTGAACATTTCTTCTTGATTTCCTTTTCTTATAGAAATGGTCTATGCCACCATAAAGCAAGAAGACAAAGAAGAGATATTTGAACCTATTACAACTCAAGGTGAAGGAGGAGGAGAAACTGAGCAATCAATTCCTGAAGGTATGATCAACATTCTTTCATTTTAAAGGCAAATCAAATCCTTAAAGGGGAAGTCCATTCTGATATTAATAACAAGAATTAACCCCCCCCCCCCAAAAAAAAGAGAGAAACAAATCAGGGTTAAGTATCCCTTAAAAGGAAAATCAACCTTTAGATTTTAACAGGCTAGACCCAACAGTAATTAAAATACGGCTAGGTGAGCTTTTGTTTTTTGAAACAGGAACTTTGATTGAATGTACATGTACATTATATATACAAAATGTACTAAAATAGGTTTTTGCGGCCAATTTCACACTTTTTTCATTCAAATTCATATTCCGAGCATTTAAATTCGCACTCGCAGCGTTGAATCAGCTTTCAAATTCAAAATCCGTCATTCAAATTCACTGTCCGTGCAATGAAGTATCATATCACTGGATCCAAAATGACACTTGGTTGCTTTATCCTTTCAACTCATCAAATATTGTACAAATATCAAACTTTTCGTGGCATATTCAAAATATATAAATGCACATACCAAGATATGCCTAAGATCAGACAATTTTAAAAGTTTTGTTTATTTGGTGGTGGAATCGGTGTTATGTCTGAGTATTGTAAAATTGTGTATGCTGATCTTAGGATGGGTGAAGTATACTTGTTCTTGTAGGGGGTGTTATCTGTGTTTTTTTCATGGAAAACTGATGTATTGTCATGACCTGATAATCAATATTTAGCAATTTTGTGTGAGTAAAATCACCAAAATTTCAAACAATCATGTGCGCATGCTTCCACGCAGTGTTGGCATGCCGTTTTTTTTTAGATTCATAGCGCCACTTAGGAAATTACTGATTTATTCCAAAAATTAGTGATTTTGAGCATTGTGATTACTGATTTTCTGTTCTGGAGGTTGGCAGCTCTGTTTGTATTGTTCCCATGTTCTCAAACATGCATAGCCTAGGCTTTTACGTTGATATGTTTTACAGTATGTGATAATCAATATTAAATTAATGTTTTTCTGATAATTTTCATGCAGCAGAATGCAATGTAGTATACAATGCAAGTAAATCCATACATTGAGAGAGACAATTACAGTTAAGTCCTTAAGTTCGGACACCCCAAGAGAAGCTAGAGCAAAAAAAAACTGTAGGCAGGTAGGCCTACATGTAAGTCTATGGGGGGGGGGGGGGGTATGAGTTGACTGATACTGAAATTTGTTGTGCGAAACATCAGATAGCATATCAATGAATAATTTTACACCAATTTCGGGTGTTAAAAAACTTATTTCATGATGATAGCAGACAAAATTGACAGAGTTTGACAGGTTTCGAGACAGAAATTTGCATATAAAATATTATGCCAATTTATAATGTCATTAACAGTTGAAGACATGAAATAAGTTAAAATAATTTTGTCTACCTATTGTTGTATGATGTACAAAGATCCTTAATTAATTTGGTCGAGATTAGATTTATATCTGCTGAGAAACGGTAAAATATACTGTAAGCGCATAATTCATAGACCCTAAGAAAGCGTTCAAAACAAGAAAAACTGACATTTTACATATCTTCAAATAAGGGGCAAAAAAAACAATGTCTGAATGAATTTTTTCTTGGGAACATCTTTTTTTCTGATGAAATGGATCACAATGAACAAAATGACACCCAAGAAGTAGGATCACAGAGGGGGGGGGGGGGGGGGGGGGGAGAGGAGGGTGCATGGTAGCCCCCTCTGGCCCACGGACTAATAGCGCTCATATCTGTCAGACTTGACACTCCTGGCACTCCCGATTATTACTATGGCTTTAATTTTCTTCTATTTTGTAACAACTTTTGTCTCTTCAATATGATTTAAGCTAAACTATAATTGGACAATCACCTTTTCCTTGCTGAAGAAAGGTCGCCAACTCGATGGCTACGGTCTATTTCTTGCTCCTGTAGATCAAGTTTAATTTGCTTACCTTCTTCACAAACGAGAGTATTCAATTTGGTGTTTTTCCACGCTTCTCTATGAGACTGGAGATACTTTTGCAGCTGTTTCGAGAATACTGCTCTTATCTGTAACTTGGCATTTCAGGTTTGCAATTTTGTTGAGGCTCGTATCAGTTGACTAAGAAGATGTTTGATGGCTGTCTCCCTCTCGTTCACCTTCATCTCGACATCCATCAAGGTTGATTTTGCCTTCTCTGATGAGGTGTGAATGTACTGAAATTTGTTGCGAGTTCATCATAAACTTCAGTTATTTTAATATCTGACTTTCTGAGACTTTCAATAGTTATGAAGCATTGATCATGATGATCAAGTTTCTGGTAAATGTCATTAAGTTTATTTGAGATTTCATCTTATTTGCTACTAACATTGTTTGAGAGTGCCTCCTTAAAGTCCTCACTGTCTAGGAGCACCTTGATAGCTTATGCTATTGCTGTTCGTTTAGGAGGCATTGTAGTACTGCTAGCCAGCCTAGCCCTATATAGGGTCACCACAATCCCGATTATCACACCGGTATTAGTATCAATGCATGTACATGTACGCAGCTCACTAAACGTTTCATCAAGTATGGGACCGTAGTAGATTATCTCGAAGATCCAACAATATCTATCAACAGTTTGCACAAGAATGATAGCTAAATTCAATATTATTGATTCATATGTGTTACCATTCCGTATTCAGCACCCATTCATTCATTATGGTAAACAGATTTTGCAGTTCTCTTCCTCCTTATTGGCAATATATTCTTGTAGAAAGAATTTTATCGTCCAAGTTTTAAAGATAAAGACCAGTTATGGTCATGTGATTGCTTTGTGAAAGAAACGTTGTGGAATCGATCAGAAAAGGTTGATCATCTAGCATATAAGTATTGGTGTGTACTGCAAGGTTCTGGAATCATCAAAATGATAAGAAATTTGGCCCAGTCTTGGTAAAGTTACAAGCATTGCACACAGAAAGATGTATATGGGACTATGCACACGTGCGCGACACGTGCGTTTATCTCTCACATACCAATAGATAAACTAATTTACCAAATATATCAATTAGTAGGCGGTTTCCCGGCAAAATTGTTATCATCACGTATTAGTCAAAACATATTCTTTCACATGATTGGTTATAAGAGCTTCCATTTCATTTTTTGAAATTGGGGCCTTTCCATTACTGGTCTTTACCTTTAACAGGAGTCTGCCAGTCAAATACCATGTACATGAAAAAAAAAAATACCCTTGACTTTCTTATTTTCTAGATGTTTGCCCAACAGTTTAAACCGAGTTTGGATAAACACTATAATATCAACAAAACTGCTGGCAAGTTCCAGAATTCTGTTTGGGACCAGATATGGTTAAATTCATTTTGACTAAATAGAAATCAAAGATAATCTAATTAGATGCATTTTGCTTGGTCCCATCGAAGTCAACTTGGGCGAAAATCAAATTTTCTTTGACTTACACACATATCAAAGATTTCAATGTATCCTGTCAAATTTGATGTATGCGAAGTTGCTGTATTGAAGGTTTGAAGCATTACATGATAGTCTGCATCTAGGCAGACTGGATACGCCTGGTGATATTTCTTTACTCTACAGTGATTTTGATTTTGGCACTTATCAGAGCTCGACCTTCTCTTCAATAAGGATGTAATTACTTTCTTTTCCTCCCTAGAGTTGGACAATGGACAAGACAATAAACACCCACATATAACATCATGCAGTGGAGAGAAGTCCCATCTGTGTTTACATTGCAGTAAGACATTTACAGATGAAAACACTCTTATACTACATCAGAAAACACACCAGGGCGAGTATGAGCTAAGTAGCCACCTTAGAACACAAACTGGAGTGAAATTTTTCAACTGTTCCCGGTGTGATGAGGGTTTTCCCGATGCAAGTACCCTTATCAGCCATTTAAGAACACACAGCCTCAACGAAAAGCCTCAACGATGTTCCCATTGTGATAAGACGTTTTCTGCAAAGACTAGTCTTACTGCCCACCTTAGAACACATACAGGAGAGAAACCCTTTAAGTGTTCCCAGTGTGATAAGGGGTTTTCTCAAAAGTCTATTCTTACTAACCACCTTAGAACACATACAGAAGAGAAAACCTTTAAGTGTTCCCAGTGTGATAAGGTTTTTATTTGCCAAAGTTATCTTACTACCCATGTAAGAACACACAGTGAAGAAAAGCCTTATCGATGTCCCAATTGTGATAATGGGTTTTCTAAAAAGAATCGTCTTACTCGTCACCTTACAACACATACAGGGGAGAAACCGTTTAAGTGTTCTCAGTGTGATAAGGGGTTTTCTGCAAAGACTAATCTTACTGCCCACCTTAGAACACATACAGGAGAGGAACCCTTTAAGTGTCCCCATTGTGATAAGACATTTTCTCAAAAGGCTATTCTTACTAACCACCTTAGAACACATACAGGAGAGAAACCCTTTAAATGTTCCCAGTGTGATGAGGGTTTTCCCTATGAAAGTACCCTTATTAGACATTTAAGAACACACAGCCTCGATGAAAACCCCCTTCAATGCTCCGATTGTAATAGGACATTTTCTCACAAGAAAAGTCTAACTCGTCCCCTTAGAATACATACAGGAGAGAAACCTTTTCACTGTTCCCATTGTGAAAAGGGTTTTTCTGAAAGAGGTACCCTTATCAGACACCTTAGAACACATACAGGAGAGAGAACCTTCAAGTGTTCCCAGTGTAATAAGGGGTTTTCTGCAAAGACTAGTCTTACTGCTCACCTTAGAACACATACAGGAGAGAAACCCTTTAAGTGTTCCCAGTGTGATAAGGGGTTTTCTCAAAAGTCTATTCTTACTATTACCACCTTAGAACACATACAGGAGAGAAACCCTTTAAGTGTCCCCATTGTGATAAGACATTTTCTGTAAAGACTAATCTTACTGCCCACCTTAGAACACATACAGGAGAGAAACCATTTAAGTGTTCTCAGTGTGATGAGAGTTTTCCCTATGCAAGTACCCTTATTAGACATTTAAGAACACACAGCCTCGATGAAAACCCCCATCAATGCTCCGATTGTAATAGGACATTTTCTCACAAGACAAGTCTTACTCGTCACCTTAGAATACATACAGGAGAGAAACCATTTAAATGTTCCCAGTGTGATAAGGGTTTTTCTCGAAGAAGTCACCTTACTAGACATTTAAGAACACACAGTGGAGAAAAAACTTTTCGATGTTCCCGTTGTGATATAGGATTTTCTGAAAAGAATCATCTTACTCTTCACCTTAGAACACATACAGGAGAGAAACCCTTTAAATGTTCCCAGTGTGATGAGGGTTTTCCCTATAAAAGTACCCTTATTAGACATTTAAGAACACACAGCCTCAATGAAATCCCCCATCAATGCTCCGATTGTAATAGGACATTTTCTCACAAGACAAGTCTTACTCGTCACCTTAGAATACATACAGGAGAGAAACCATTTAAATGTTCCCAGTGTGATAAGGGTTTTTCTCGAAGAAGTCACCTTACTAGACATTTAAGAATACACAGTGGAGAAAAAACTTTTCAATGTTCCCATTGTGATAAGGGTTTTTCTCGAAGTCGCTCCCTTATAAGCCATTTAAGAACTCACAGTGGAGAAAAGCCTTATCAATGTTAACATTGTTATAAGTCATTTTCCCCTGTGACGGAGCAATTTCGGTTACATCGCCAGTAATGGAAAATTTGGCGGTGCTTTCTTCTTTCATTGCCCATTGCGCCTCATTCAGTCATTTTCGTGATTTTTAGTAAATGTAAAAATGAAAGATCAGACTTTTTTCTTTCTAAAAATATAAGTTTTGTTCATCAATACGTAAAATAAGGTCTCTTATTTTGCTGAAGCTCCACGTCTTTCCTTTTCACAATACAAATTGCGCAAGCACCTCCGCACGCGCAGATCTGTCAATACCTCCATTCATTCCCCCATTGTCAATGATTGTCGTCTGCTAAAGCTCGGCCGATTATCCTACATCCTCTTCTTTCAAAACAGTAATCTCCCAGAGTAGTTACTTAGAGTAGTTTAGGCCTACATCTTCTTCTTTCAAAACTATTCTTTCAAAACGGTAATCTCCAGAGTAGTTACTTCTTTATATTTTTTTGTTCCTCTTAGGGTGGGGTCCGTTCCAGGCAGGTCCATATATACCTGAATGATTCGCTAATTATTGGTCAAGTTGATGAAATGAAAAGGCATTGGTAATTATAGGGGAGAAGAATTACCAAGTCCTTTTATCAATGCATACTTTTATACTAGTAAGGTCGGTTATTTGTAGCCAAGTGAAACGCGGCGTATCGCGAATTTTATTTAAAAGGAATAGTCCTATAGGTCTTTATGAATAGGCCTACTATAGGCCTAATACTATCATTATATGAATAACTACAATACATCTATGGAAATGTGAGGAAAACAACGCCCTCTCAGATTGCCCAGCGAAAATCATCCAATCACCGATGGAAAATCGCCTTGTAACCATCTTCATCAACAAAACCAATACTCCAAAGCCTTGAATCAAGGCAAGAATATAGAACGGACGCGCACGTACGCGTCCGTCTCCAGCTGTACGATTATTTCGATGGCCTTTTTTCGATCCGAACACTAACTTAGGGTAAAGTTGAAATGATATCACCTTTTTCTCGATTTTTTTCCACGTAACTTTATTATTCTTTTAATAGATGAGATGAATGAATATATCTAAATAATACTTCAAAGAACTTAAGCACATACCGGTAATAGCTAATAATAAGCTGGAAAAATTTGTCAAAATATTAGGTATACATTTCGGCTTCTGTAGAATTTTGAGGGTGGGCCGGCCCTGTGGGGAATATGGAGAAAAACCTGCGCTTTCATATGACACCTCACTTATTGAGTATCACCTTCAGGATCACGAGCAATATTAGTTTGAACCTCTGGTAATTAAAACATCGACCAATCTAGCATGATCAAATGCGCAATGGCCAATGGAAATGCATAGGGATGTGTGTAATCTCTACAGGAAGGATCTGCATCTGTCCGTGACGTACAAATCACTACAATCACCAGCATCTGGTTGTCGCGTACTAGAATCTAGATCTAGGGCTACTGAAAAAATTATGGAAGATTTCACGTACCCTTTTTGGTGTTCTTGCTGTCAGCATGTCTCGCATTTGATCCTCATCCAGAAGTTAAAATCTTGGGAGCGTTTCTAATTCAGCCATTTTGGCCTAGTACAGTCGGTCGTCTGCGCTAGGGAGTCGGGCTAACTCGCCCCACGGGACATCTCGCCCCAGCGAGATATCCCGACATGATTTATCGATCGAGAGATACCAGTAGTCTGCTAATTAACGGCCAGGACGAAAGAATGTGAACAAATATCAGCCATATCGTCTTAAATGTACAATGAGCACAAACATATACACATTGGTATCTCTCGATCGATGAATCGTGTCGGGACATTTCGACCCAGTCTTTGATGCTGGGGCGAGATGTCCCGTGGGGCGAGTTAGCCCGGATTCGCTGCTAGTTGTATTACAAAATTGGTAAAATATAGCGACCAATTCTTCACACATGTACGGTATCCTCGATCGCTCAAACCATTTTTTAACATGTAAACCTATGGGGTAACCATGGAGACTGACCTATTTTCCCGGTAACCATGGTTATTGGGATTTTAGAACTGTTTTAACCATGGTTACCAGGAATTTTACAGGAACAGTTAAAGTTTATTTCGACCAATCAGATGGCTGGATTTCTTAAGTGAGGTATATAATATTAATTACAATAATACTGAAACACTGTCAGAATTGTAACATAACTAGCCCAGTAATTTAGTAAGACGTAGAGGGCGTTTTAGTTAATTGTGAAATATATATGTGTACATCGTGAGATGTCAGTGAGTCCGCATTGAGCTGTCGTTGGGACAGGTTCTATATAGTTGTGATCTGTGAGTCAGCGTTCACCTGTCGTTGTGACAGGTCCGTTACCAGGAACGAATAAAGATACTTGAACTGCAGATACTGTGCCAGTGTTGTTTCTTGAGTTCCTGTCGGACATTCAGTGATTGCGGGAGTCAGTAAAATGAGAGCTACACCTGTAGTCCACGTTATTCTTACACGATATACTTTTGTGAGAGCCCACTGAGAGATATAGTTGATGAATGATTGTCGAGAGCGTGAACCGGGTTTTAAGAGACTGCAAGGCAGAACGCTTCCCCGGCAGAGCCCGGTTACGCCACAGAATGATAAAAACGATGACAAAAACAACAACAACAATGATAATAATAATAGTATAATAATATAGGTTTTCTCGCCCAACTTTGTAAACTTTTTTCAATTAGGTCTTCTTGGATGGTTGTGCCTGAGTTCTTTAATATTGGGTTCTTGTATAATGCTCATATCTGTCCGACTTGACACTCCTGGCGCTCCCGATTATTACTGTGGTTTTAATTTTTTTCTATTTTGTAACAACTCTTGTCTCTTGCAATATGATTTAAGCTAAACTATAATTGGACGATCACCTTTTCCTTGCTGAAGAAAGGTCGCCAACTTGATGGCTACGGTCTATTTCTTGCTCCCGTAGATCAAGTTTAATTCGCTTACCTTCTTCACAAACGAGAGTATTGGTATTTTTCCATGCTCCAAAGGTTCTTTTGCAGCTGGGACGAGAATAGTGCTCTTATCTGTAACTTGGCGTTTCAGGTTTGCAATTTTTTTGAGGCTGTTATCAGTTCACTTAGAAGATGTTTGATGGCTGTCTCCTTCTCGTTCACCTTCATCTCGACATCCATCAAGGTTGATTTTGCCTTCTCTGATGAGGTGTGAAGGTACTGAAATTTTGTTGCAAGTTCATCATAAACTTCAGTTATTTTAATATCAGACTTTCTGAGACTTTCAATAGTTATGAAGCATTGATCATGATGATCAAGTTTCTGGTAAATGTCATTAAGTTTATTTGAGATTTCATCTTATTTGCTACTAACATTGTTTGAGAGTGCCTCCTTAAAGTCCTCACTGTCTAGGAGCACCTTGATAGCTTATGCTATTGCTGTTCGTTTAGGAGGCATTGTAGTACTTCTAGCTAGCCTAGCCCTAGTGTCGACACTAATTACTACGTCACCACAATTACGATTATCACACCGGTATCAATTAGTACATGTATCAATGCATGTACGCAGTTCACCAGACGTTACATCAAGTATGGGACCGTGGTAGATTATTTAGAAGATCCAACAATATCTATCAACAGTCTGCACAGGAATGATAGCTAAATTCAATATTATCGATTGATAAGTGTTACCATTCCGTATTCAGTACCCTTTCATTCATTATGGTAAGCAGATTTTGCAGTTCTCTTCCTCCTTTTTGGCAATATATTCTTGTAGAAAGTAATTTTATTGTCCAAGTTTTAACAGTCATATACCGTGTACATGAAAAAAATACTGGTATCTTTCTTATTTTCTGGATGTCTGCACAACAGTTTAAACCGAGTTTGGATAAAAACTATAAAATCAACACAACTGCTGGCAAGTTCCTGAGTTCTGTTTGGGACCAGATATGGTTTAATTCATTTGACTTAATACATAGAAAGCAAAAATCATCTATTTAGATGCATTTTGCTTGGTCCCATCAAAGACAACTTGGACGAAAGTCAAATTTTCTTTGATTTACACACATTTCAAAGATTTCAATGTATCCTTTCAAAATTGACGTATGCGAAATTGACTGTATTGAAGGATTTAACCATTTCGTGATAGTCTGCATCTAGGCAGACTGGATACGCCTGGGGATATTTCTTTACTCTACAGTGACTTTAATATTGATTTTGACACTTTAATACGAGAACTTGACCTTCTCTTCAATAGGGATGTAATTACTTTCTTTTCTTCCTTAGAGTTGGACAATGGACAAGACAATATACAACCACATATAACAGCATGCAGTGGAGAGAAGACACATCTGTGTTTACATTGCAGTAAGACATTGACAGATGAGAACACTCTT